AAAAAAAAAAAAGTGCAAAAATTATTCCATAAATCAAATATTTTTATCCGTCAAACAGTAAACAAAAATATTGCACTTCATTTTACTAAATTTTATTAATTAATTTTAGGCTTTGTAATGATTGAGCAAGGTCCATTACATGGTAAATCAATCAAGCTCATTTTACACGATATTGGTCGAATAAGTTTTAGCCGTGATTTACCAGTATATGGGGTTTGAATTTATTCACATTATTTTGTACTTTAATTTTCAATCATTTACTGGAAAATTTAACTTTCATTGTGGTATGAGAGTAGTAAGAGCAGAGTTAATCGTTTAATTTAAATTTGATGAACTTCACTTTGCGCAAAACTGATATCCAATGTTATATCATAGCGTTAACAATAAATGATAATTACATGGGATTAACATGACCACTTTTTCTCATTATATTCAGAATGAAAAATGATGTCAAATTTTATCATTATGATTAAACGAAAAGAAAAAAAAAAGTAGTAAATAATTTTACAGACAATTCGGGAATTTCGATTGTTGGACAGCGAAACGCTTGAACAACGATTTATGATGGAAACGTTAACACATCGGATGCAAATTCACACTTCTATTCGATATAAAAAAATTTACCCGAAATAAATTAAGAAAATCTTATTTGGGAAAAAAATGTGAAAAAAAAAAATTTAAAAAAAAGGAAAAAAGAAAACGTTGTTTACATGAAAACAAATGATAGCATTATATCTTTTAACAAGAAGTGATTTGACGAATGAATGACATCTTTGAATTCTATGTATAAGGCTTTGTTAAAAGTTTATTTGGCAATTTGTAATCAATCATATGTTATCATCATGGTATAGGCTATATCGAATAACCGAAGATAAGCATCAAAATTCCATGGAATATGTTTCATTGAATAATCAGAAATTCTGCTGATACTATAATTGATATGTATTTCATAAAAGGGCGAGAAAAAAAAAAAAAAAGACTCAAAAACTCAGTTTCGAATACCATTTCTTTTTCCTATTGATTTTCTTAAAATGTGGGATAATTTGCGGAAATAAATCACCTAACTAACCTGATGTCTTGAATTACTCAAAAACTTTCAAATTTTTATCTAAGCAAATCTAAGAAACAAATATTAATGAGGGAAAAAGAAAAATGCACATGAAAAGTTTTATCAGATGCTACTTTTTCCTCACTCTCAATCTCTGCTACACTGTGAGAGTGTAGCTATTTTTAATCTTTCATAATCCCTGCCACATAACACACAATGTATCACCAATCATAGCAATATCTTCTCTCACTCCATTTCCCACACTCTCTTTCATTCCTTTCTCAAGTAATATTCGTTAGATTCTTGCCAATCTTTGAACTTCTCATACGTCCTGTTTCTCCTCCACCTCCTTTTTTTTCTTTTCCATCCTAATGAATCCCATATCCGTAGTTCATACTGGAGTGTCTCGTAGTTCCCGGTATCTCGCGCTTGTCGGATTGATGTTTTGTTCAGCGTTTGGAGAAGAAGGGATTGAATTTTTTTTGCTAATTCTTTGCTAGTGCTTTCTGAATTTTGATCGTTAAATCGTGTCAATCCAAAGCTTTTTCCAGAAACATATGAGTACAAATTTTCGAAAATTTTGAGCAAAGACAATTTGCGGTCCGTTATTCTTCACAATGACGACATTGTCCACAAATTGGAAACAACTGCGAGAGGTAATTTTCAGATGGAATTTCTGTAATTATGAAATTTGCTGTCCAGTTTTGAATTCTAGAATTTGCTGTCTAGTTCCAGGTTCTGGAATTTCCTTTTTAGACTAGACATGAGTATGGTAGGTCTGGAAAATTAAGTTGTCTGGATATATTGAGGCTTCTAGCTTTTCGAAAAGCTGAACTGAAGCCAGCTAGTGTCTTTCAAAGACATGCGTTTTTTCTTTTCACTTTCAAGTTATATTTCAATGTAATACTCGTATAGCATTTGCAAGCCACTTAAACTAAGTTACTCACTTTTAATCGATCACTTGAATTGCACTGTTAAGAAAACGAAGCGACTTTGTTTTGGACACGTTGTTTACTTTACTTATACTCTTCTTGGACTGACTTTATTTTGTTGATATGCATGTATAACATTTCCCAATTTTTATAGCGAAATTGATTATGACTGATTTGCAGGAGTTGCAGCAGGAGAAAGCGAAGTCGGTGGATAAAGCTAATGATATGCCGTACAATGGAAGCGTAATCTGTAATCGTAAAAGAATGGCTCGATTAACCAGGAAGAAAGCAAAGCAACAACGACTTGACAGGGAAAGAGGAGGCGTTGGTCCAAACAGTTCATCTTTAGAGATTACAAAAACTCAACAAGAGTAAGTAAATTGCTCGTTTTTATTCCTTTATGACTGAAAAAGGCAAATATGACAATAACAAATATGACAATTTGACACTGGTTGTTTATATAGCTTCTAAAACCATCCTAATAATGGCTGTTTATTAAACAAATTAATAAATACACGTTTGGGTCAATAGTTAAAGAGGAATCTGAATGATTGTCACAAGTGAATTAACGTCAAATGTCTGAAAGTGGTAATTTTGATGACCTTCTAAAAACGATCTATTCTGCAGGGGAGTTGAGCTGACAAACGTGCTTGGAATAGACTGTGAATATGTTGGTGTTGGCATGAATGGTACGGATAATATGCTTGCGAGGATTTCAATCGTAAATATGGAGGGGCAATGTATCTACGATAAGTATGTGAAACCAAGAGAAAATATAACGGATTATCGCACGGCAGTGAGTGGCATTAGGCCTATTAATTTGGTAAATGGTAAGCTGTTTGACAATCATAGTGCTATATCCGCTCAAATTATTGCGGATTTCATTGCGATACTCTCACGACCTTGTTGAAATGATAAGGAGAACATTATCAGATTGAGCTATCAGTCTTTATATCACTCTGCACCGTTTAACTCTTCAATTATTTACATGGAAGCAGAAATTTTCATTTGCAGATTCTCTTTCTTTTTATGAAAAAGAAAAATAGCAACGAATGATGAGAGAAGAGAGTATTTAATTTAAATGATGCATTACTTCATTAGAAATCTGCTGCGCTGTGTATTAAAATGTAGTGTTGTAGCAGAACCATTCCATAAAGTTCAATCTGAGGTGCATAAATTGCTGAGTGGTCGAATCGTTGTCGGACATTCTCTCAAAAATGATTTCAAAGTAAGTTCGCAACTTGACAGTTTAATATTAAGTAACGTTGTGTATACATGTATAGGTTTTTTGAAAGACCAATTGGTCTATTTTTCATTGGTTATTTTTAGGTTTTGAGCCTTTCTCATACACGTAAAATGACGCGAGATACCGCCACGTATTTGCCATTCCGTAAAAATTTGAATGTCTCACGAACTCCATCACTGAAATTACTGGCAAAACAGCTACTAGGTATTGATATTCAGAACGGCGAACATGATTCGGTTAGTATCTTTCCACTGTTCCGACAGTTATAAACACATGGTTAGCGAAAAGTTTTTGAATAACCTCATCGGAAAAAAGTATTTCTGAACTTTGCTTGTTAGGATGGAAAATTGCCGAATGTTTGTTCTCCTCTTATGATAATGTTTTTAAAGTTGAAGGTTTAGCAGTTTCAAGCCAAAAAATGAGCTTACTTCCCGTAAGTACAAGCAGATCGTTATATAGTAAATGATTATGTTCCGCGAAAGATGTATTAGAAGTTTCAATCATCAAAAACTTTGAACTCCGTGAGTTCCAGATTGTTGATGCGCGAGTCGCGATGCGGTTGTACGTTTTGAATCGGAAACAGTGGGAAAGTTATATCCGAAGGTCTCGTAACCGGTGATAATTTCATGTCTCTCATTTGCTAGTTGTTATTTCTCAAAATATTCTCGACGCTTGGCAAAAGCAATAAAAGTTCCAACCATTATCTTACAACTAGTAAGTCTACTATTCCCCCGCACTATAGACGAGTGTTGCTCGTTTTCCCACTTTTATGTATTATCTTCCCCTCCTATATGACTAAAATCCCACCCACCCCATTCACATAATACTCGGCTAAATGCTTGTGGGGAGGTGGCTCATATTTCGTCAGATGTAGTTCGTGACGCATCACGTTCAAAATTTCATATCGGGTTCTCACGCTCAGCTCCAAATTCCATTCGGAAAATTATCTGCAGAAATGTTACACCACAGTTTTGATAAGCAACACACCCTTTATTACTTCCAGTACAGGATACACAATGCAAACAGGAGCCTAATTGCAAGAAAATGGGAACAGAAAACACTGTCATACACAATTGAATACCAAAAGTTCTTTTGAGGCAATTCATTTGGAACAAGAATGTGAAAGATTTGAATAACCGAAACAGAAGAGATTCTTTACTAAAAATAAATACCATTGTTACATAAATTAGTCGGTGATATCACGGATACAAAACAATGAAAAAGTTAAACCAAACTCTTGAACACTATGCTTTAAAGGAAATGTACTTTCACCGCCAGTAACACAGGAAAAGATCACCTAATTAAAATTCAGGAGAAAAACAAGATTCAGCAGAAAAAAAAACAACACAGTTCGTAACACCGAGATAGCGAGAATTGAATGACTTTTACAGAGAATTTGAAAGCGTTAAAGACCGTTTCTCCGTAAATATTTGAAGGTATGATGACTTCCTTTCACTTTTTCCCTTGCTTGCAAAACGGACTTTATGTGTAGGTGTATGTGTGTGTATATGTGAATGGATGTAAGACAAGGGAGGGATCCTTTAGTAAATAATTTTTTGCCCAGAAACAGAAACAAAACAACAAGGAGGATAAAGTGCCTGTCTATCACTGATCATGTTACTGATGAACGGCAAGAAAGGAGAAAAGGAACCTGTGCTCAAATTTTATGTTTCCACTGAAAAGATTTTCAAAACATCCCAAAGAACCTCTCGGGAAAAAATGGGAAGAGGAAACCTGTAACTGAAACAAGGAATAATGCAACAAATCGTTTAAAAAGGTAAACAAAAACAAAAAAAATGCAACAAAGCAGCGCCAGAATACACTGCCATAAATCTGACATATATTAGAAAACCTCCCGCACGATTAATCCCTTCCCCTGTGATCAAAAAATAGCATGGCGTCAATTCTCTCTCCGAATGCATTTCTTAATCACTGCGGTCACTGCGTGGACATTCACGACTGATATGCCCTATCTGCTGACAATTATAACATCGTTTCGATTGATCTGAACCAAAATCCGGGCAATCACGGGAAATGTGGCCAAATCTACCACAATTATAGCATTTCTGACTCCCACCACCACCAACGCGACGTTCCGTAGGACATTCTCGAGCAAAATGTCCAAAACCTATAAAAACGGAAAATTAGATATCTGCGCTCAAAACACAATCTTTAGTGAAGCTAATGAAATACTTGTATGAAGCGTGTTCGGTGTGTATCCAACTCTTAGCAGAAGATAAGCTGCACTGAATAAAAGAACATTTTCTACCGCGAATGTTCCTCCAATAAACCGACAAATCGTATAAAACTAATCAAAAATCATCAAAATCACTTACCACCGCACTGATAGCATTCGCTCTGGCCAGAACGTCCACCACCGCGTCCACCATAATAGCGCCCACCACCACGCTGGTTTGGACACTCTCGTGCAAAATGGCCCGACTGCCCGCAATTAAAACAATCTGAAACTGCAAAAATCGGGACTGCTAATCACACTATGTAAAAAATACCTACATCAGAAAAACCTGATTTTCTTTCCCGAATTTCCCTAGCTGTAGCTTAAAATGGACTTCCACCTTGTACAACTCCTCACGCAAAACATGTCAAGAAAAAAAGTACGAACCTCCCCCACCTCCTCGTCGGACGGCCTCCTGAATTTGGGTAGGGCAATTCCTGGCAAAATGTCCTTTTTCGTTGCATTTGTAGCACCTGTCTGAGTCGTTGTTACTCATAGCTCCAGAATACACTCCTACCTCGTCTCTTCAACCGCCTCCGACTTACTCTCACACCGCAATGCACGCTTCACACGCCACCTACACACCTAAAAAGAAAGTTAGCCATGTAAAATACAATCCAAAGTCATTGTGCACATTATGCAAATTTTAGGCAACATTACAGCGAAATAAAAATCGGAAGATTAGTCGCACGCGTTTAATCATGATTTTTAACCAGTTGATGAAATACGAATTATCATTTTGGGGAAGTCCGGTCGACTATATCATTTGTCCCAGTTCAAGGAAATCCAGCCATTAAACACACTTTTTAACTGCACTTCTGCAAATTAATGATTATTCGAACACTTCGAACTTTGTTATCATTCTATCTCTAAAATGAGACTAAATAACCAATTCCCCTGTTGAAGAATTTTCTTGTCTCACTGCTCAAATAGTCTGGGTTAACATAAACTTCATAAGGACAACTAAGAAACCACATTATAAACACCTTTAAAAATACCCATCTCAGATACTACAGTATTGGTTTAGCTTGACAGAACGACCATGCAATCTACAAAATAATGACAGGCAATTCGAAAAGAATAGGAAGATAAGACAGGAGTGATTTGATGACTGGCACTGTAAGCTTCCTTAGAATAGCCACATCGTCATCGTTACATATACTCCGAAGTTTCCCGGAACTGAGTGGTTAACTTAGAATAGTCACATTGTCGTCACAACATATATTATCAAGTTTCCCGGGATTGACTGGATAAATAGATAATCTTCGATGGAAACAAAAATCCCAATCGCTAAACGCAACCTCTAAATCACCGCAACATCCATCACCGAACACTTCTGCGGGCCGAGTAACCCAAATTACGCAAAAAAACACACCTGCCTTGGCAATCCGCCATGGAATACTACCAACCACCGTATCCAATCTTCGTTTCAAGACTATAAAAGAACTTTTGCAGTCATGTATGTGATTCACCCACTATGGTCGGCTGTTTACCTTAAATTGTTAACCTTTTTTTTACCCTTTACGTTCATCATTTTTTTTTACGTTCACTCCATTACGTTCATTAATTAGTTCGCGACTTGGAACCATGTAATTAATGAAGTTCATTAATTAGAACCGTGTACTGACATAACTAAAAAACTATCAACAAACAAATAAACCATTGGCAAAGACAAAAAACCAGCAAATAAACAACCGACCAACAGATCAGACAAACTTCAATAACTTATAAGCAAATCAACAAACATTCAACAACCTACAAACAAATCAACAAACATCCAAAAATCAAGAAATGTTAACAAATGAACAATCAGCAAACGAACAACGATCAAACCATCCTATCCTGTTGGGTATCGAATTGCGCTGTATATGTTGTTGATCATTGTATCTTAATAACTCAGATAAATCTATTGTAGAAAACAGGCAAAAGAAAAAAAAAGAAAAAAACTACATAACATCGCATATCTATTTAGTTAATGATCAGGTTTACGACGGAAACCCTCCGATTCTGGTAGGTTTCAGGTTTCTGGAAATGTCTAGTATGCAGGTCACGAAATAAAATAAATTTCAGGTCTTTGCGAAAACGTCCAACATATGTACGAACAAAAAAATCTCCAAAGTTTGATTCAAATATAGAAGAAAATTAAAACCAATTAAATTGACTTGCTTGATGTCGCAGTTTTAAAAGTTCTCGAGAATTCCATTATAAATATAGATGAGAAAATGATTCACTTGAACAATTCCAATATCACGACCCTTTTTTTCTTTGCTTTTTTGTTGTTTCTTTCTTTACTTTTATAAATGACAAGGTTTATTTAAAAGGTCGCAATGGTCATCGAACTTACTTATCCAAATGAAATGCCCCATTAAATAACGATATGTGTTAAGCAATTATTACTGCTGCTCTGAGTGATAATACCTTGAAATCATTTTTATTTTCTAATGGGTAATATAATTGTGTCTATTGTTGCCACATATAATAATTTAATAATGGATCTATGTGACCCACTGAGCAAATGACCCGTCACGCTCCAGTTATATCCTCTTGTTGATTTCCATAGATCACATAGCTCTACTGTCCATTTCGAGGAATTTCCGGTTGCACCCACCGTAGATAAAGCACTGAAACATATGGTATTTCTTGCTAAACACCAAGAAATTATCCTCTATGTCAGGAATTGTGGATCATTCCTGAATGATATCTTCATGCCTCTCCGGAAAGCTCATTTAATTCAACATCAATTTCTAACATTGGAAATTTAAATTCATGAAATTAATTCTTTCAATGATTTCCAATCACTTAACAATATTTTGATTTTCAATTTCAAGAATTCTTGAAGTCTTATGAATTCGTTATTTATCGTTATTTCTAAAGTTTATAAAACAACATAAATAGGTTAACAACGTCTATTTTATTTTGCTTATGTTAGATAATTATTTCTAGTATTCAATAATTCCAATAATCAAAATAAAAAATAAAAGGAAATAAATAAAAACAAATCGTAGTTTACTTTCTGTCATTTATTATGGCGATTTTATCGATACATTACAAAATATTCCAATGGAATGCATATATTTTACAGAAAAGTTTCAATTCGTTCTAATTTTTTGCATACAAAGGTGCACATTTTAGATGATGAATAGGTTGACACAATTGATATCAAACATTAAAAATTTGTTAAATAATCTTTAACGAAAGAAGGAATTTATTTTCATAATATATATTGGATAATTTGCAAAGAAATTTGTTGGTAAAATTTGATTAATGCAGAAAAAAAAAATTATTTTAGTACTTGATTAAATTTGGTAAAAAAAAAAAAGAAACTTTCTTTCTGCATTAAATATTTCATTCACTTGTTCATTCATTCCATTAACTAATTAATTATGCAAAAAAAAAAAACAGAAAAGAAAAGATCGAGAAGAAAATAGTAAATGGATAATAATGGCAAAAATAAGCTTCAAACAACTTTTATATACACATTGATGAAGGAATACGGAATTGTTTCAAAATTTCAGTAAATTAATTAATCAAGAAATTTGACATCATTTTAGCAATAATAAGGAAAAAGCGAGAAGAAGAAGGAGAAGAAAAAAGAAAAATGGATAGTTTCTTTAAGCAACCAACAATTTAATATTAAAATTAAAATTTTGAAATAATTCCAAGGTTAGGGAAGATAAACTGCTACTCTGCCTAACAAAATATGTTTTGTTAATTGCAACATCAATTATTAATTTCATCTCTTTTCTTTTTTTAACTATAAGAAAAAAATGAAGGAATAATTGATTAAATAGAAATTTTGATATCAAAACATTTCAAGATTTCAAAGTCAAACTATCCTCTAATGATTTTAATAAAAGAAAAAAAACAGCCCTAATTATTTATAATACAAAAATTTAATGTCAAATTAAATTTTAAATTAAAACTTCCATATGATATACATAAAAAAATATATGCATGAAGAAAAGAAAATACGAGAAAGGAAAGTATTTATTGAGAAAGGAAGTTATCAAATATTAATATGATTAATATGGAAATGATTAATACTATCTAATATGAAAAGATTTTAATTAGATATCAGACTAATTGATAATATCTTTAGTGCAAATGATATTTTAACATCATTAGCCAAACATTGAAGGTATGTTCAATGAAGTTTTTTTTTTTCTTTTCAAAGAAAAATAAAAAAAAAGGTGAAAAGAAAGGATTGATTAAATTTATCTTTCTAACCTTACTTATTACTTATTTAATCTAACCTCTAACCTTACTTATTACTTACTTATTACTTATTGATTGATAATAAAAACTTATGTTAGAAAAAAAAAAGTTTAATTTTTGATTTTTGATTTTTTTTTTTTAAAAACGACAATCCACAAATTGCAATATTTTTCCCAATGTTGTCCAAGTATATTGTGAACCACCAACGTTGGTGCATGTTGCCATCAAATTTGGTGATGATGTTATTGATGTCCTTTGCTGTAATTAGTTGTAATTATTTCATGATGAAAGCATTAATTAAATTATTGTTGTTAAATTAAATGTGTAACGAAAAATACGAGAAAAATTAGGAATAATCCGGAAATTAATAAGCAACTATAACCTGATCATATCCCTCAACCGTAGCTGGTCGTCCTTTTTCGGTACATGTTATTGCTACAGTTGCTCCTTGATTATGCGTATTACCAAAACTAACATCACTGTAATCAAATCGATATTGATCATCTTGATCAACTGTTTTCACTGGATACAAAATCAAATCTGAGCATCGACCAGCTATATATGCTAAAAATAGCAAATGATTCGTTTCGAATGATTGCAAATTTGATGTTTAAGAATAAACGTGAAATGTGAAGTAGGAAGAGGTTGGAATATAAACGAATAGATGCATGAAACCGGAAAAGGTTGGAATGTAAACGGATCGATATAAAAAACCGGAAGAATTGGAAAATGCTCTTTGTGCATTTCAAAAGATTGATTGAAATTTCGAAAAAAAATAACCATCATGAAATGATAATTAAGTATTCAAATGAAAGGATAATTTTCACGATATTTTATTTTTTATTTTTGAAACTTTCCATATCTTCATTAATACATTAATGAAAAATGATTTTAAATGATATGTGATTATCAAATTCCTAAACGGATGATTGATTAGCTAAGAAATAGATTCATATGAAAAATTGGCTGAAAATAATCATTTTAATTTATCAATTTCGTTTCCGTAATTGCAAAATTTGCAATTAACTCGTATGAATTATGCATAATTACATATTCTATTCCATTAAATTAAATTAATTTAATACTCAAATTAAAGTATGATTTTGAAAAAACTATATTTTATAATTATAATTTTGATCTATTTTTTTCTTCCAGATTTCCTGTACTGACGAAAAATCAGCTCCTCTATTTATAGCTATCAACAAAAAACCATTGCTTTCAAATTGATTTAGTTTCCGGAATTTTCATCCTCATTATTTCCGATGTTTACAACTATTTTCAACTTTTTTTTTTTTTTTTTTGTTTTAGCTAGTATTTTTTTAAGATTTAGCAAGTATTAAAAGCATTAACTTTGGATAAAATAAAATTTTCAATTTGAAATATTTTTCAATTCATAATGAAAATTTGAATTTACTCGATCGATCATTTTCGCATTACTTATACTTTTCTCTTCTTATAATATAATATAATTAAAAAAAAAAAAAAAAAA